ATAGATAGATAGATAGATAGATAGATAGATAGATAGATAGATAGATAGATAGATAGATAGATAGATACACACACACCAACACTCCAGATCATAGTTTCCAAAGTCCTGACCCTTTTGCAGCCAGGAAGGGTAATCGGACGGGGGGCTGACAAGAGGAAGAACTCTCCAAGATGTCGGAAAGCAGCCCAGGTGAGAAAGCATTCCCTGAAACCCATATGACTTACCTGCACCCTAGCTTCAGAGAGTCCCAACCTCTGGCTCAGCTCTTCCCTCATAAAGGCATCCGGATAGTGAGTCTCATCAAAAAGTCTTTCCAACTCATTCAGCTGCTCTAAGGTGAAATTGGTTCGGCTTCTTCTCTGCTTCAGCTTGGTCTGTCCATCCTCATCTTCAGATTTCACGTCTTCTCTTTTCTCTTTGCACTCGTAGATCCCTGCCAGAATGGAGGTGGGGGAGGGGGAATATAAAGCTTTTTTTCCCCCTCAATGTTTCAAAAAGTTCTTTTTCTCTGGAAACATCCCCCACCACTACCACCACCCCCATTGCACCACTCTCCTGCTCATTATTATATCTACTCTATTTATTTTCCAAATTCCTTTTTTTTTGTGGAAGAACAGGGGGAAGGGGGAGGTAGGCTTTGTCTACAACACTGGATTACTAAGGCAATTAACTAAAACTTATTAGAAACTGAAAAGAATCATGTAGGTTATCTAGTCCAGTCCCCTCATTTTACAGATGAGGAAATAGAAGCTCAGAGAGATGAAATGACTTGCACACAACTGATATGTCATGCAAGGAAAGGAGGGGGGAAATGGCACTCTTGCAATGATCTGTATGTTCTAAACAAAAGTTTTTGGCTTAAATATTCATATATTTCCTAATTATCCATTTTGCAGTTGTAAACATCACCTAAGATATGTTTATGTGCATCTGTGTGTTTTGCATAGACTTTTCAATAGGCAATGTGTCATGGAGGATAGAGGTGTGTTCTGAGTCAGGAAGCCCTGGATTCAAATGTCACCTCACACATCCACTGTGCAAATCACTTAACTTCTCAGTGCTCCCAGCAAATTCTGTAAGACTTCAAGTTGCAAAGAAGGCACCTCTCTGCGCTAGTATAGGAATTCCCTCCCAAACAACTCCCTACACCCATAAAATCACAATTTAATTTTTTTTTAAAAAATGGATAATTTTAAAGGGGATAGAGTGATAGACGTAATTTCCCAAAGCAGTCTTAGATTATTCCTAATTCAGAAAAAAAAGGAGGTGGCAGTCAAGAGCCAGAGACCTACAAACCTACACCAATGAAGAAAAAGAATTTGGGAAAAGCATCTGCAACCAATTGCAGCCTAAAAAAAAAAAAAAACAAAAAAAAAAAAACCATAGACTTATGTACAGACTTACAGACATTAAACTGGAAGCTGCACCTTTGGGGGATGCTGAGAGCTATTTATTCACTGTTCTCACTGAATTTACCTTTCTGTAGAGTTCTAAACCATTTTAAAGAATTCTTACAGAGAAATCTCTAAAGTAGCAACATTCACCCTCTATTGATCTTTTGAGTTGGTGATGTAAATTTATGTTTTGTTTTGTTTTCTCTTCTTTCATATATCCCCTTCCCCTTGTATTAGTGTACCAAGAAATACACTTCCCTATAGCAAAAAAAAAAAAAAAAAAAAAAAAACTGTATATGGCATCTGTTAGTAGAGAACCAAGAACTGAGTAACTTTTCCATTATTTATGCATTTTGTTCAGGCTTTAATTCCCAACCCCTGTAAAATCCATTACACAAGTCTCAAAAGCACACCAGACTCACTTTTAAAATACAGGGGGGAAAAGTACCATGTAAGAAGGATGTGAGTTATGTACATAAGTGTGTAATGAGTGTGTAATAGCTTTTCTATCCTAAGTCTCAAGTCTGATGATGGGGTGCCACATTTCATTAAGAAAATGCCCACTGAAACAATAAGTTAGAAGCCATGAGCAAAAAAGATTCATCCTTTTGCTTCCAACTGAGTATGCTCGTGATTGTCTTTGATTTGAGAGGAGGATAATCCCCACAACTTCAGAAGGCCAAGTATCTCACCTGCAGCCCTAAGTTCCACTCTTTTCTAGAAAGCATAAAAAATTTGGGACAAAATGAACTAAAGTAGTCCTCAAGGGACTCCAGTATCCAATCTCTCCAAGGAAAAGAAAAATATGGGAACATAGGCATACACACACACATACACACACAGAAATACACACTAATTGGTTGATGCTTTTCCCTGGAATTTCTCTAGATTGCTTTTCATGTGAATTGATCTTCAATGATCAATGAAAAATCTCAAAGGAACCTCTTTAAAGGACTACATTTTTAAACAATAGAACATTTATTATCAATAATAATGGCAACAATGTTCTTGGGGATGTGAGGGTGGAGTGGAAGAGCTTCTGGGAGGTTATTCTTATTTCAGTTTTGATTTCAAAAATTTTAGAAACCCAAAATGTGAGGCCCAGCAGGAAAATTCAGCTCCAGAGGTCATCAAGTGGCCCTAACATGAGCTTTTCAGAAAACCAATCAAGTCTCCACCAAGCCTTGAAGACCTAGGACATCCCAGAACCTGTCCCAATCCAGCTGAACCCTGGGTCCCAAGACCCTCTTACTCAACTGAGTTATGCAAATAAAAGGATGTTCTTCACACACTACTCTTGAAATTAATTATGGAAATGATCCTTCCTTCCTTCCTTATTTCCTCCCTCGATTGTTCGTTTCCTTCTTTCTTTCTCTCCTTTAAATTGGTGCTTAAGCCTACCCAGTTAATTCTAAAATCTGCTTTGCTGTTTGCTGTCTTTGGCAGATAGGAGGGAGATAGGCTGGAATAAGGGGAGAATCAATTGGCCAATTGCTTCTGCAGAATCACTGGGGAATGATTGGGAAGAACGACCAATATAAAGATTTGAAATTAGAATTAACTCCTTGATGAATTTAAATAGCCAATCATGTCTCCATTAAAGAAAACTCCTCTGTAGATTAATTCAAATTGATCTGTCTACATAGAAAAATACACAGAGTCATGCACGTTTTTCTTGTCAATAGTCGGCATGCCTATTTTCTACAATTCCAAGACACAGGAAGCGACAAAATAAAGGCTTTAGAAAAGTATACAGATCTTTTAAATGGTTTGGAAACTTTAGGAATTCAGTTTAAGATTTAAATAAATATAAACAGAACTGCCTTGGTGATAATATATCTCATAGAAGACATGGCTATGAACCTCACCCTTTTTTTTTTCTTTAAGCGGAGAAACACAAATAAATGGGTTTGTTATCCTCTGTTTCTTTTCTTTTTAAATTTTTAAGCCAATTTATAAGTACATTTTGAAACGTGTTACTGCTCAAAAATTGCTCGAAATTTATCTTTGTGATAAAAAAATCACAGTATCAGAAAAATGATCCATTCTTTGGGAACACACCTGCTTAGCTCAAAAGACACTTTCTCAAACTTGTTTCTTTTTTCCAGCTTCGAAACCTCTCTCTCTCCCCCTCCCCCCTTCAGAATAATATTTTCTGAATAGATAGGATTGGGGAAAGCAAAGGTGAAACTAGTTTGACCAAGGTCTTGCAAGGTGAGAATGACAGGACTGGGGTGCCCTGGATCTGATACATTTAAGGTTTGACAAGATTATCTGATTCCATGATTTTAGCTTCTTCTGGCCCACGGAGTTCACCCAAATACACAGAAAGAGAACACATTCCCAACTGCTGTAATCCCCTTAAATCAGCCACCTGCACTTAATGCAGCCTAGTCTTTTCCAAGGAGTCTTTAAGATCTAAATTTCCAACGTGAAAGCCTCCGGGTCCAAGGCAGAAAGTTTTCTCCTAGAAGAAAGAGCATCCTGATGTCCAGCAAAGCGGAAGACCCGATCTTACGGGTTGGTTTGTTTTTAATCCTTCCAAGCTAAATAATGCATCCTACTTCTCTTAGCTGTCTAGAAGGTACACGCAGAGTTTAAGAAACATCGTTATCGTGGCTACGGGTCTAGCACACGTAGTAAATGTGCTTGTACCTTATACATGTCGATGCATATGTTAGGCTAAACGCATAAGGATGTAGTCCCAGGACACATACACGCACGCAACCAGACACAGATCCCAGACACAAACAAGAACTGACCACCCCACGGTAAATCGAATTTTTATGCCAGAAAAGCGCTTGCTCTTCATTCCTCAACTACCAAGTTTTAATTTTAAATGTCAAATGAAAAGCCCATTAAAAAATCAAATCTACATTTTCTACTCTCACTCGTCTCCCCTCTTTTCCCCCTGTTTCTCTCCCCTCTTTCCCTGTCTCCATCACTCCTGTCTCACAGTTCCCCTCTCCCTCTTTCATTTCTTCCTTTCAAAAAAGACGTGCAATTGATTGGCTTGTTCTTTCAGCGGGAACCGCGGGTTTAAATTAATCGAGTTTAACATCTAATTTAAAGCAATCTGTGGAGCTCCGGGGCCTCCCCGCCCGTGGAAAGAGGGGAAGGAGAGCACAAGAAGCAGGCTTCCCGAAGAGGCGAGGACGGCAGGGGGTCCGGTGGCGCGGGCTCTGGCTCGCTCGCTTACCTTCCGCAGCCCTGCCCGTGCTGAACTCCTTCAGTTTGTCCTTGTCACTCTCTACATGGTCTTTGAAAAGATGCACTGGGCAATGGTTGCTGCTCTCAGTAATGTCCTGAAGGTTAGAATCAGAGTTTCCCAGCTCCCGAGATCGAGCCAAACCACTCTCCAAAACTTCCCTGTATGTAATAGTCTCCTTCTTGCTGCCGCTGCTGGCGCCGCTGCTGCTGCCCTCTTTGCTTTTCTGGTCAAAAGATTTCGATACAAAAGCTGTAAGTTCTTCCATGGCTGCCCTGTGATCTTATCCACAGAGATCCACTTGTTTTCAGTAGGAGATCTGGCTGTCCTCTGCACGCTTTTTTTTGCACGTAGAAGATGGGCTGTATAAGGTTAGATCACTCCTGCTGTTATTTATGCCTTTCAATTTGAGATCACACTATTTATACATGGCTACCTCAGCCCAACCCCCAGCTCTCCCTGTCTCCAGCAATTACTGACTACTCCACAGTCGCAGGCGGACTCCTAGCAGCTATCTTTCCCCCACCTCCAGTCCAGCAATTGGCTTTCTTTCATTTCATCACTGTTTGGCATCTTTGCACCTTGGTGAAGGGGGGTAAAGATCAAAATTTTTAAAGGGGAGAGCGAGAGCGAACCAAACAGGTATCTGCATTCTATAAATGGGTTGCAGAAATGAAAGTCATTGGAAGACTTTATTGATTGTAAGGAGGTCCTTGCTAGCCAGCACTGTGAGTAAAACGTATCTAGTTAATAGAATACGTCTTTCAGAATGTCTTCTTGCGATGTAATTTATAGATGCCGAGGGAGCAAGGAAAGGGATGCGCAATAAAAGAGATAATTAATAAAAAGTTGGAGATGAGGATTTTATTGCGATCCTGGCTACCCGGCGTGGTATGGGGGGGGGGGGGGTTTGTGTGTGTGTGTGTGTGTGTTGAGGGGGAGGGGATGTTTAATTGTCAAATTTGTCAATGACCAAAATGTGGTGGAAAGGGAACACCAATTTCTAAATGAACCTTGATTATCGGTTACGAAAGTTTCCGAGACTCTGAGGTCCCGATTGCTGTACCTCTAAGCAGAGTCATCTAGGAAGCATTGCAAGCATTGCAGAATCTGGTTTGTGGCTACTGTGTTCTCACCCAGAGATGTTGCCTGGGAAATTTAAGATTTTAGAATGTGCTTTAATAACATTGTATCGCAAACCAACTCTGCTGGGTCTTACTGAGGACTGTTTTGTAAACATGCGCCCCGTTGGCAAAGATCGGAATGGTTTTGTATGTATAGATTTTAAGTAAGTCAAACAGATGCTGTCATCTCTGGGACGAGGTTGTCACTAATTCATCTGTGTAGTTTATTGTGGGGTAGCAGTATTTTGGCTTTGCCATGATTCTCTTTCTGCTTGTGATTTTTCCACAATGTGCTTTGGGATAACCGCTTGTCTAAACTGAAACGTGAAATTAATTTTCAAATCCTGGAAACCAAGTATGTCATTCCATACTGCAAAATTCCATCTGCAAATAAAGTTCAATTCTCTCTCCCTCCTTTTCTCTGTCTCTTCCCCTCCCCCTTTGGAGTTGAGACAAAGGCTTTTCACATTGGAGGAAATTTTGCGGTTATCGATGGGAGCTCATTTTGCATTTTCTTATGTCAATTCCTCGTCTACAGCATTAGTTAATCAGACCACATAATCATGCCCACCCTCGGCTCTGTGAATTTTATCCAAATGAGGTCTCCCTGCCCGAGCCAGGGACTATTGTTTCCTTACCAGCAAAGTGCGCGATCACTCCGGGAATTCGCGGAGCTCTACAACCATCAAACGACCGATGTCTGATGCACATACACCTGCACGGAAGGAGAAGGAGAATTCGAGGAAACAATTAATAAGGCTTCCTCGGCTCCCGCCCCCACCCCCTAAGGAGCAATGTTCGGGCGTGGAATTCTTAAAGTTCTCTCGAGGTAACACGGAGCTACAGTCGGGACCTCGGGCTGCGAATCTCTGCTAAGCTAAGAGATTTTTCGGCTCTGCTTCGTCCCCCTCGACTTCAAAAGCTATAGGCTAGGAAGCCCTCACAACTTAACAAACAGGTCTTTGTCATCGTAGCCCTCTAATCAAAGCTAAGGCGCTTAGATATCACACAGAATTACAAATATCACCTTCATCCATAATGCATGCCAGTGCCTTATTGTGGGTCCGCGGGTATAAATAAAATCGCATCCCCAATAGGGTGGAGGGCACACTCGCAAGCAGGGAAGGTGGGGCGGGGGCGGCGGGAGGGTATGGAGTGTGTATGTCTGAGATCTGAAACTGCTGGGGCTTACAAGGAGACCGGGGATGGAGATTTGTGTTCACTCCCCACCCCCCTCCCTGGCTTATCCTCCACCCCTCCTCCCCCCCACCACCCCCGTCCCCTACTGCCAACCCCTCTCCAGCCCACACCTACCAGCATTCACACAGACCCACTCTTGGGAATCTGAAATTGAATTCTCTCCTTTCTAGAGCAGAGATTGGGCTCAAGTAAAGAGAAGGGGAAAGGAGGAAAGAGAAAAAGGGAAAAGGAGAACAGCAGAGAGAAAGAAAAGGAGGGAGAGAACAGCAGAGAGAAAGAAAAGAGAGGGAGAGAGAAGGAGAAAGAGAGAGACAGAGACAGAGAGACAGAGAGACAGAGAGACAGGGAGAGAGAGAGAGAGAGAGAGAGAGAGAGACCAAAAAAGTTCATATTGTTCAGATTCCATACCAACTTGCTTGAGCAGGATCCCTCTAGGGGGAAAAAGTTTTGAAAAACATTGTTCTTCATCATTCATTATCGATCCTCTCCTGAACCTCCTTGACCGAAAACCTTTCTCGATCCTTCCTTTTCTTTCAGTAAAGGTCAAGAGGAAAATGCTTCCCCAGAGGACTAT